GGTTGTTGCTGTTGCTGCTGCGGTTCCTGCTGCGGCTGCGGCTGCGGTCCCTGCTGCTGCGGCCCCCGCTGCTGCTGCTGCTGCTGCTGCTGCTGCTGCTGCTGCTGCTGCTGCGGGTGCCGATGTGCTGGATTTTGAGGGCCTTCTGGTGAATGAGGGCCGTCAAAGCCACCCGCATGTGCAGCCCCAAAGTCAGCTGCCGGTGGAAGTACTGGTGCAGCAGCAGCGTCTGCAGCACGGAGGACAGCAGCAGCAGCAAACAGTAGCCCAGCCCCTGCAGCAGCGAGCTGCAGCAGCACACGCAAGCAGCAGCAGCACACGCATGCAGCAGCAGCACACGCATGCAGCAGCAGCACACGCATGCAGCAGCAGCACACGCATGCAGCAGCAGCACATGCATGCAGCAGCAGCACACTCAAGCAGCAGCAGCAACGGCCGCGCCGCAGCGCCAGCACCGCCTCGCAAACCCCTGCTGCTGCAACACTCACTCCTACCCATTCTCCAGCACTTCTGCTAACAAACCCTAAACCCTAAACCCTAAACCCTAAACCCTAAACCCTAAACCCTAAACCCTAAACTAGTAAATACTCTTTTCTTGCCTGCGCAAAGTGCCAATACTCCCCCGCAGCAGCCTAAACCCCAGCCCCCAAACCCCAAACCCTAAACCCCAAACCCTAAACCCTAAACCCTAAACCCTAAACCCTAAACCCTAAACCCTACTTTTCTTCGGGGCTTTGGAGGAAGTTGATGAGCCGCTTCAAAACCAAAGGGCCAACGAACTGCAGCAAATCATAAATGAGTTTTAAAAAGGCAGAGCCCAGGCAGGTGAGGCCATAAGCGCGCACGAGCACGCGGACCAGGCTCACTTTGCTGCTGCTGCTGCTGCTGCTGCTGCTGCTGCAGCTGCTGCTGCTGCTGCTGCTGCTGCTGTGGTCTCGCTCCGAGTCCGACAGCAGCGCCGTCGCTGCTTCTGTTGCTGCTGCTGTCGAAAGGCAGCTCAAAGGAGTGGCAGTTGTGCTGCGCGTTGCTGCTGCGCTGGACTGAGCTGCGCGCTGCTGCTGCTGCTGCTGCTGCTGCTGCCGCTGCTGCTGCTGCTGCAGCCGCCGCTCCTCAGCAGCCCAAGCAGCCATGAGCTTCTTCGTTTGATACTGCGCAGCAAATTCAAAGACCCCACAAATATGAACTGCATTATGAAACTGCAGCAGCAGCAGCAGCAGCAGCAGCAGCAGCAGCAGCGGCAGGTGGAGGAGAGAGAGAAGCAGCAGCAGACAAGAGGGAGATAAAGAATTGCTGCTGAGAACTGCTGTTGCTGCTGCGAAACAGCAGCAGCAGCAGCAGCATCTGCAGCAGGAGCTATGAAACAGCAGCAGCAGCGCAACACCAATAGCAGCAGCGGCAGCAGCAACGCCAAAAATACTAGCAGCAGCCAAAAATACCAGCAGCAGCAGCACCAACAGCAGCAGCAGCACCAACAGCAGCAGCAACACCAACAGCAGCAGCAACAAAAACACCGACAGCAGCCAAGCCACCAGCAGCAGCAGCAGCAACACCAACAGCAGCAGCAACAACACCAGCAGCACCAGCAGCAACAACACCAGCACCAGCAGCAACAACACCAGCAGCAGCAGCAGCAACAACAGCAGCAGCAGCACCTGAGAGGTGTGTCTGGGCAGGAGCTCGTAGGCGTCGCTGGGCTGCAGCGGCTGCTGCTCTCCCTTTTTGATTAGGGTGTATGTCCAGCTGAAGGTGAGGCGGCTGAAGAGCGACGCTGCTGCTTCTGGCGACGCTGCTGCTGCTGCTGCTGCTGTTGCTGCTGCTGCAGCACGGCCATCCTGCGCAGCGCAGCAGCAAATAGTTCACTAATTAATTAAATCTTCCCAAACAACAAAACGCAGCTTTTGGCAATCAACAACAAACGCAGCCTGCTGCTGCTGCTGCTGCTGCTGCACTGAACAGCAGCAGCAGCAGCGCGTCCCAGTAGGGTCCGCTGGGAACGCCGCAAATGCCCAGCAGCAGCAGCAGCAGCAGCAGCAGCAGCAGCAGCAGCAGCAGCGGGGCTCACGGGTTGGGAGTCGAGGAGGCAGAAAGCAGCAAAGAGGAAGAACTCGGGGACTACCAAGAAGAGGGTCTCGGCGTCTGCGGGGGTCAGCAGCAGCGCGAAAGCTTTGCTGCTGCTGCTGCTGCTGCTGCTGCTGCTGCTGATCTGCCGCAGACAAGACTGGAGGCGAGCGGCCTGCAGCAAGACGCGGCAGCAGAGGCAAAGGCGGAGGGAAAAGTGCTGCTTGACGGCGCGAGCAGCAGCAGCAACTTGGAAGATCCAAAAGAGAAGGAAGAAGCAAAAAGAAAGAAAAAGAAAAAGCTGCTGCTGCAGCAGCAGCGCGAGCCGCGGCTCCACCGCAGAAGCAGCAAGGAAGGCCAGCGGCACGCAGAAGCACAGCAGCAGCAGCACGGAGCGGAAGGCGTCGAGTTTGTTGCGGCTGGGGGGGCCCTCTTCCCCCCCCGCTGCTGCTGCTGCTGCTGCTGCTGCTGCAGCAGCAGCAGCAAGCGCGCGCCACAGCCAGGGAGCCACGGCCAGCAGCAGCAGCAGATTCAGCAGCGGGAAAGTGAAGTCTTCGAAGCAGCTGCTGAAGTCCTCTTTGCCAAAGTCCCAAGGCTGCCAAAAAGGAATATCCGAATTTGCACAAAGGGCCGGCAGCGGGGGCCCCCCCGCCCCCCAGAAGTCCCACAGGCCCTTCATAACTGCTTCTGCATTTAAGCTGAAGTCTTCCTGCTGCTGCTGCTGCTGCTTTGCTGCTGCTGCTGCTGCTGCTGCTGCTGCAGTTGTGGTGGTGGGCGTCGTGGGTGTGGCGTGGTGTGGTGTCTTGGGGCGGGGTGTCTGTGCGGCGGGAGTCGTGTGGCTTGGCAGTTGGTCCCGCTGCTCTTTGCTGCTGCTGCTTTGCTGCTGCTGCAGCTTTGCTGCTGCTGCTGCTGCTGCATGCTGCTGCGACTTCGCGCAGCGCAGCAGCAGCGGCCGCCGCGGCAGCGCGCAGCCGCGCCGCCGCCGCAGCACCGCAGCCCCCCGCGTGCGGGGGTGTCTGTCTGCGTGCTCTCTGTCGCGCAACCCCCCTCCCGCCCCTCACAAAAGTCCGAAGAGCAAATTAAAACAAAAAAAGAAGAAATAAAATACAAATTAGCCCAAAAATAATCGAAAATGTCCTTCCTAGTCGGCCGCGAGGCTCCGGACTTCGAGTGCGAGGCGGTGATGCCCGACGGGTCCTTCGACACCGTTCGGCTCTCCGCTTTCCGCGGAGAAAAGTACGTTTTAATATTATTTTATCCCTTAGACTTCTCTTTTGTTTGTCCTTCCGAGCTTCTGGCCTTCAGCGCGGCCGCCGCGGACTTCGCCGCCCGCGGAGTTCAACTCCTCGGCTGCTCCGTCGACTCCAAGTTCGCCCACAGCGCCTGGAGAGCCGCAGCCCCCCGCAGCGGCGGCCTCGGCCCGCTGGCCTTTCCTCTTCTCGCAGATCTTCGCCGCGAACTCGCAGCAGCTTTTGGGGTTTTGGGCGAAGACGGAGTGGCTTTGCGGGGCCTCTTTTTGCTGGACAAGGCCGGGAAGGTCCAGCACGCGCTGGTCAACAACTTGGCGCTTGGAAGGAGCGTCGGAGAGGCTTTAAGAGTGGTCGACGCGCTGCAGCATCATGAACAACATGGAGATGTTTGTCCCGCTAATTGGCAGAAGGGACAGAAGGCCATGAAGCCAACTCAACAAGGAGTTGCGGAGTATCTTGCCAGCCTTTATTGAGCTGCTGCTGCTGCTGCTGCTGCTGCTGCTGCTGCTGCGGTAGCAGCAGCAGCAGGGGGCTGCTGCTGCGAGAGCAGCAGCAGCAGCAAGAGTGGTGGACGCGCTGCAGCATCATGAACAACACGGAGATGTTTGTCCCGCTAATTGGCAGAAGGGACAGAAGGCCATGAAGCCCACTCAGCAGGGAGTTGCGGAGTATCTAGCGAGCCTCTATTGAGGGGGGAGGGGTGCTGCTGCTGCTGCTGCTGCGGTAGCAGCAGCAGCAGCAGCAGGAGAGAGAGCTGGCGAGAGAAGTGGCTAGCTAGCTGCTGAGAGCAGCGGACAGACGCGATTTTGGGTTGTTTTGATGCTGCTGCTGCAGTGTGAGACGGGAGACAAGCTGTGGCTGTGTGAGTAGCTAGCTAGCTAGCTAACTAGGGCACTGAGAAACAGCTAGCTAGCTAGCTAGCTAGCTAGCTAGCTAGGTGAGTTAGAGACATAGTAGACATAGAACAATAGAGTTGAGTTCCTTGCTGCTGCAGCCGCGTCATTCCCGCAAGCTTTCTCTGCAGCACCCCAGCCCAGCAGCAGCAGCAGGTGCAGCAGCAGCAGCAGCAGCAGCAGCAGCAGCAGCAGCAGCAGCAGGAGGTGTTTGGCGCGGCAGCAGCACGCCAGGGGAGCGGAGGAAGTTGTGGAGGCTGCGGAGGCGCAGCGCAGCAGCAGCAGCAACGGGAGCCAGCAGCAGCAGCAGCAGCAGCAGCTGGGAGAGTGCGAGGCGGCGCAGCAGCAAGCTGCAGCGCAGCAGCTCGAAGCCGCGCAGCGGGGCAGCCAGTGCAGCAGCAAGCACTGCAGCAAAAGCCACGGAAAACAAAAAACTTAAAAAGTAACTTTCTTTTCTTTTGTCCAATTGCGCAAATCCAAAACAAACAAACATGAACAGTGTACATACACCTCCCGCCGCGTTCTCCAGCGCGAAGTTCGCCAGTACGTACACCCCGTGCATCCCCGTCACTCCCGCAAACACTTCTCTCCAAAACTTCACTTTTTTAAATTCTTCTTCCGCCTTCTCCGCAGCTTCTTCCCAACTGAGTTCCCCCTCTTCTGCTCCCTTTGCTGCTGCTGCTGCTGCTGCTTTTTCTGCTGCTGCTGCGCTGCTGCTGCTGCTGCGCCCCGCAAAAAGAGCCCCCGGGGGGCCCCCAGGGGGGCCCCCGGAGGAGGGGGGGCCCCCGAACTCGTCGCGGGGACTCCGGGAGTTCGAACGGGTTTCCTCGCCCCCAGGGGGGCCCCCAGGGGGGCCCCCAGGGGGGCCCCCAGGGGGGCCCCCAGGGGGGCCCCCAGGGGGGCCCCCAGGGGGGCCCCCAGGG